GAACCAAAGACGCACTGCTTCACTGCCAGGTGGTTCTCCTCGGAACCAAAGAGCGCCAGAGCCTGTGCGTCTGTGGGGCTGAAGAGGAGCTCAGGGTCCACTGGAGAGATAAAGACCCATTAATAATCCCTTTTGTTTTCAAGAACATTTTGGTATAAAAATATCGCCACTACTAATGCCATTATCAACAGTACTGCAGTTATTAACATGAATATTCGATGATTATCTTTATTATGCTCAACCTATCTTGGCTTTATTTCACTGTGGTACTATTTATCATAATTACAATTAAAGGGGAAAATGTGAAGTATTCTCACCGTCATCGAGATGGCTGAAGCCATTTACATCGAGACATTTCCTGTATATTTCTCTCCTCGTTTGTTCATCATGTTCAATTGCGAAGAGGTTCTTGCAGACTTGCAGCTTTAAGAAGACAAGTGCGTTTAGGAAGGAAATTACTGCTAAACGAGGCACCATCCTATCTTAAACTAAATTCTAATAATCAATGTTACATAATTTTTCTTCTTGCACAGAAACAACACTAACCCACGGTATAATTCAAATAAAAATGGGAAACTAGAAGCACTCAGAGAGCGCATACCTCCGCCAAGGCAATAGGGGCAAGATGCAATCATTTAAACAATTCCTGGATCCGAACCATAATCCGGATCACCACCAAAATTTAATAGCATCTTAGTTGGACTAAGGCACACCTCTGTTATATCTTTGAGTTATCCTGCTAACCAACGAACAAACTAATCAAAGACACAACCTCCTTGGCTGAGGTAATTAAACAAAATAAAACAGTACTCACATCAGCCTCACACGAGGTCACATTATCAGCTCCCTCACATGTTACATCTGAAGAAAAGATACTGTTAGATACGGAATGGACAGTGCTTGTATATAGTGTCATTGGGCAGTAGTCCTCCACTCATTTCTCCTGCTTTTATGTGTACTTTCGTTATTAGAGAAAACAAGCAGGCTAGCTATTTACCTTTTAAAAATTGTTGAGGAGAAGCAGAAACTGCGGCCACTGCAGCCAAGAAGGTCAAGGCTTTGATCATGTTCTGGAATGTAGACAAAGCATACTGTTAATCTGATATTCCTGATTAAATGTTTTGATAAAAATACAGTAATCATATATATCTTAATCTACCAAACATAATTTTGAAATTGGTTACATCTGTATGAAAGTCAATAAAAAAAGAATGAATGAGATGAGCTTCCATGCAGTGAAAGCTCCTCTATTACTTACTGCGAAGGTGAGCAGAAGGAGACTGAATGAGCTTGACAGAGCGTCCCTTATATATGAGACGCGTGACTCAGCTTGTTTGCTTGCGTCATCAGGAGAAGACGGAAGACAAGCATCCAAATTGCTGTGCAACTTGCGCGTTTGATGCTAAACAGTGGAAAGAAGAGAGAGGAAGTTAAAAGCAAATATACTTAGTGAAAGATAGAGATAGAAATGAAAAAAATGAAGGAAATGGAGGCAAGTAGTGAACAATGCATATGTCAATACATACATACATATATATATATATATATATATATATATATATTAATATATATATATATATATATATATATATATATATATTATATATACATATGTATTTATATGTATATGAATATATAAATGTATATATAATACATATATACATACATACGTATATATATATATATATATATAATATATATATATATATATATATATATATATATATATATATATATATATATGCGTGTGTGTGTTTATGTTTTGTGTGTTAATGTACGCATACATATGCATACGTATATAAATACACACATATGTTACATATAAATGTGTGTATATATATATATATATATATATATATATATATATATATATATATATATATATATATATATAAACATAAAAGTTTCAAGGAAATATATTGAATTAATTGAACATTTCCCAAGCTACAATATACTACAAGTGAAATCGTCATTTTGACTTTGCTTATTTCAGTCGATTTAAATGAGAAACATCCGACAGATTTGGCATCCCGCCCACGGCCCGAGGCAGGAAGGGCGTCCGCTGGCCAGGGCCCCGTCTGCCAGAGGAACGTCCTTCGAGACAGCGTCGCCCAAGCCCTTGCTCGGGAGGTCGCGACCTGAAACCGGGTCACATTATAGTCGGTGAATGACAAATACTTTTCGCAAAGACTCTGGCCATTCCTTAGAAGCTAAAAGATGCAGAATTTTCGGTGACCGCAGACAACGGCCACGGAAGATTTGACGATTTCGTCATAAGGACGAAAATAGATTATCAGAGGGTCGGGTCATGGAATGTCATGGAAATGAGTTTTCTTTTATCATAAGAAAATAATAATAATAACACAAGAGGATTTCGCTTTTATCCCAATAGTATATATATATATATATATATATATATATATATATATATATATATATATATATATAGATAGATAGATAGATAATAATATAAAATACATATACATATATGTGTATATACATATATATATATATATATATATATATATATATATATATATATATATATATATATATATATATATATATATATATATATATATATATATATATATATATATATATAGGAAAACCCACACTGCACAAACTAGATTTATTGAGGAAAGTGAGACAACATTTCGGAATCGTCCTGATTCCATCTTATCCGAAACTGTTGTCTCACTTTCCTTAATAAATCTAGTTTGTGCATTGTGTTTTTCCACCATAGTATCAACACGTTAGATATACATATATATATATATATATATATATATATATATATATATATATATATATACATATTTATGATACATATGTAAATATATATATATATATATATATATATATATATATATATATATATATATATAGATAGATAGATAGATATAGATATAGATATATGTATATACATACATATATACACACACACGCGGGTGTGTAATGATAACGGAAACCTTACTCCTAGTGTATCCCAGATGTGTATATATTATCAGATTTTGCAAAGAAACTGTCGTATAGATAGAGTGCTAGAAAGGTATTGAATATCTTACGGTGATGGCTTTGAAACCGCTGAAATTAACTTTTTGTATTGTGATATTCATTCTTATTCATGCTTTTTCACATTCGTCAACATGAATGCGGTTCATCGAGTGCTTTTCTATTTGCAAAATTTCTGGCGTCTGGGACGTCCATGGTTTCTGTCTCAGTAAAAAGAGCAATGTGTTCCATGTATTTTGGTTTTAAGCAAAACTCAAAGCGTGATTGTAAGTAAAAAAAAGTCTAGAAAGTTATCTTTATATGCGTCTGTGATGTGTCTGTTTTATATATGTATAAAAAAAGAATGATGAAGAACATTAATTCGTTTGTTGTTGTTGTTGTTTTGAAAATAAGAAATTGTAAAGAACATTAAATCGCTTGTTCGAAATTTAATGAATCCGGGATTTAAAAATGTTTGCTTGAATGGTTTCAGAAATCTGTTTTCTGAGGCTGTGCTGCGTTGAATGAGCAGAACAGACGGTTTTATTCCAATCGAGTGTAGAAAATAGAACGAGGAAAAAATAATTACGAAATGCTTTAGGGTATTGGTCTTTATTATTCATGACGGGGAACTATCTCGGAGAAAGGTCTTTCATATCAATTTCATGTCATTCCGTATTATTTAAAAAAATATTATAAGGCCTATATCAATTTGAATCTTTTCGATCTTTTGAAAAAAGTATAAATGGAAATAATTATAATAATTCCAATCTTTTACAATCATTACAGTATTGATTTACATTGCCATGACATTCAGATTGTCACGGGAGGAAGGAATGATTGCACACCATTACTCCTCAGGAACAACAGTTGTAGGCACAGGTGTTGAGAAGTCCCTCTGGAAGCACTCCATGAAGATGCAGACCTCCCACTCAATAAACTGAAAAGACGAAGGAAAATGAAAGGAAATAAAATGGCAAGGCTAAAGTGGGGAGCAAAACGAAACGTGAGTACAGGAAGAAATTAGAGAAGACAAAGTGGAAGCGCTTAATTTATATGAATGCGAGACAAGGATCTGAGACGATCTACAAAGCGGATTGTTGTCGCCTCTGAGGAGGGCTTGGGGTTCAGCTTTCTCAGGGCTTGGTGGGCAGGACGAAGGCCATTTATAGAGAAATACCCTTCGACCTCCTCTGCAAGAGTCCTAATAAGCATGATGGCGGTGGGAAAGTTTGACTTACGTTTTCAGTCGGGCAGAAGTCCGTGCCAGAAACGAGGCGGTCGAGGAGGTCAGGACGAGTGTCGTTAAGGGCGGGAGTCAGCCTGTCCAGGAAGGGCTGAGGGTCGACTGTTCCGTCAGGCCTGAACTGTGGAGCGAAGGAGGGGGGGGGGGTGATAATGATCATGGGAGTATGAGAAAACAGGTCATGTGATAGTAGTCATCTACTTACACGGAACAGTAAATATATCAGGTACAGGAACAACATATCTAAAGCTCGGAGCATCTTCAAATAATTTGCAGGCTTCTCGACTTATCAAGTAACGCTCCGATTTATGCTGTACATTTCCTACTCAGCTAGCAAGCATCAATATTTAGTGCCTTACCTCTCCATGCTCCTGCAGGACGCACTGCTTCACTGCCAGGTGGTTCTCCTCGGAACCAAAGAGCGCCAGAGCCTGTGCGTCTGTGGGGCTGAAGAGGACCTCAGGGTCCACTGGAGAGCCGGGAAAAAAACACTAATTTGCAATTTCTCTTGTTTTCAGGTTCAAGGTTTGTATAAAAGGTGTGATGTTTTCCCACATTGTCACTAGTAATGTTATTATCAACACTGTAGTTATTGACACCAATCTTTATGAATATTTTTGTGTTTATCTTTATGATGATCAGTCAGATCTTGACTTATTTCAGTAAAATGTCACTGATCCTATTGAAGTCATCTTGATACATCAGTATCAGTGCGCCTTAAAGGAATAACAAAATGAATGTATTGTAAACTCACCGTCATCCAGATGGCTGAAGCCGTTTTCGTCGAGGCATTTCTTGTATGTTTGTCTCCTAGTTTGTTCATCTTGTTCAATTGCGAAAAGGTTCTTGCAGACTTGCAGCTGTAAGAAGACAACAAGAATACTTAGGAATGAAGTTGCTGCTGAATGACATAGTCTCTCAAAGTGTTTCATGATAGCTGGTGAATTAAAGAATAGTTCCTGTTGCGTAGAAGGAGCCACTGAATTATTAAGTGGGAAATATTAGCAGAGAAAGTGAAATAAAACAATACTCACATCGGCCTCACACGAAGTCACATTATCAGCTCCCTCACATGATACATCTGAAGGAAAGATACTGTTAGATACGGAATGGACAGTGCTTGTATATAGTGTCAGTGCGCAGTCTTTCAATTACCTTTGCTTTCATGTAAAAAATAGTATTGTTTGCAATGCAATATTTAAGGTCTTTTCTCACTCTGTCGCTCTCTTTCATTCTTCCATTCACTTTTGTTATTAGAGAAAATAACAGGCTATTTACATTTTAAAAACTCATGAGGAGAGGCAGAAACTGCGGCCACTGCAGCCAAGAAGATCAAGGCTTTGATCATTTTCTGGAATATAGACAATACATATGTGTTAATCTGATCATTTTGTGTTGAAAAGAAATACACCCAGTATTTGTATCTTAATCTGACAAACAATTTTGAGTCATCATATCTATAGACACATGGCAACATGCATATGCATGTGTAGGACACTGATGCTGTTCAATGAAATTCGGGAACGTGGAGACAACCTGCAGTAAATGCGACTGTAAATATAATTTCTTATATGTCATGTCGAAAAAATAAGATAGTAAGAAGAGCTTCCGTATACTAAAAGCTCTTGTAGTACATACCGCTATGGTGTCCAGAAGGAGATTGAATGAGCTTGACAGAGCGTCCCTTATATATGAGACGCGTGACTCAGCTTGTTTGCTTGCGTCATCAGGAGAAGACGGAAGACAAGCATCCAAATTGCTGTGCAACTTGCGCACTTGATGCTAAACAGTGGAAAGAAGAGAGAGGAAGTTAAAAGCACATAAACTTAGTGAAAGATAGAGATAGAAATGAAAAAAAATGAAGGAAATGGAGGAAGAAGTGAACAATGCATATGTCAGAACCTTATGTTATAATTATACAGGCATAATATACAATACATATACATACATACATATATATATATATATATATAATATATATATATATATATAATATATATATATATATTATATACATACATACATGTATTTATATGTATATGAATATATAAATGTATATATAATGCATATATACATACATACGTATGTATATATATATATATATATATATATATATATATAGATAGATAGATAGATGATAGATATATAGATAGATAGATAGATAGATAGATATATATATATATATATATATATATATATATATATATATATATATATATATATATGCGTGTGTGTGTGTGTGTTTATGTTTGTGTGTGTGTGTGTGTGTAATTTTGTGTACGCATACATATGCATACGTATATAAATACACACATATGTTTTACATATAAATGTGTGTGGATATATATATATATATATTATATATATATATATATATATATATATATATATATATATATAAACAGTTTAAGTGTAAAAGCGTTCAAGGAAATATATAGAATTAATTGAACATTTCACAAGCTACAACATACTACAAGTGAAATCGTCATTTTGACTTTGCTTATTTCAGTCGATTTAAATGAGAAACATCCGACAGATTTGGCATCCGCCCACGGCCCGAGGCAGGAAGGGCGTCCGCTGGCCAGGGCCCCGTCTGCCAGAGGAACGTCCTTCGAGACAGCGTCGCCCAAGCCCTTGCTCGGGAGGTCGCGACCTGAAACCGGGTCACATTATAGTCGGCGAATGACAAATACTTTTCGCAAAGACTCTGGCCATTCCTTAGAAGCTAAAAGATGCAGAATGTTTTTTCGGTGACCGCAGACAACGGCCACGGAACATTTGACGATTTCGTCATAAGGACGAAAATAGATTATCAGAGGGTCGGGTCATGGAATGTCATGGAAATGAGTTTTCTTTTATCATAAGAAAATAATAATGTTAATAACACTGAAGAGGATTTCGCTTTATCCAATAGTATGTATATATAAGATACATGATATGTTTTCCATCTGTTCATATATTATGCATATATGTATGTATATATATATATATATATATATTATATATATATATATATAAATATATATATATATATATATATATATATATATATATATATATATATATATATATATATATATATATATATATATATATATATATATATATATATATATATATATATATATATATATATATATATATATATGTACATATATACACACATATGTGTGTGTGTGTGTGTGTGTATGTGTGTGTAATGATAACGGAAACCTTACTCCTGGTATATCCCAGATTTTTATATATTATCAGATTTTGTAAAGAAACTGTCGTATAGAGATAGTACTTGAAAGGTATTGGATATCTGATGCAGATGGCTTCGAAACCGCTTAAATTAATCTCTTGTATTGTGAAGATATTCATTCTCATTCATGCCTTTTTCACATTCGTCAACATGAATGCGGTTCATGAGTGTTTTTCTTTTGCAATTTCTGGCGTCTGGCACGTCCATGGTTTCTGTCTCAGTAAAATGAGCAATGTGTTCCATGATTTGTGGTTCTATGCAAAACTCAAAGCGTGATTGTAAGTAAAAAAAAGTCAAGAAAATTATCTTTATATGCGTCTGTGATGTGTCTGTTATATATAAATATAAAAAGAATGATGAAGAACATTAATTCGTTTGTTGTTGTTGTTGTTTTGAAAATAAGAATTTGTAAAGAACATTAAATCGCTTGTTCGAAAGTTAATGAATCCGGGATTTAAAATGTTTGCATGAATGGTTTCAGAAATCTGTTTTTTGAGGCTGTGCTGCGTTGAATGAGCAGAAGAGATGGTTTCATTCCAATCGAGTGTAGAAAATAGAATGAGGAAAAAATAATTACGAAATGCTTTAGGGTATTGGTGTTTATTATTCATGATGGGGAACTATCTCGGAGAAAGGTCTTTCATATCAATTTCATGTCATTCCGTATTATTTAGAAAAAAAAATATAAGGCCCATATCAATCTGAATCTTTTCGATCTTTTGAAAAAAGTATAAATAGAAATAATGATAATAATTCCAATCTTTTACAACCATTACAGTATTGATCTACATTGCCATGACATTCACATTGTCACGGGAGGAAGGAATGATTGCACACCATTACTCCTCAGGAACAACAGTTGTAGGCACAGGTGTTGAGAAGTCCCTCTGGAAGCATTCCATGAAGATGCAGACCTCCCACTCAATAAACTGAAAAGACGAAGGAAAATGAATGCAAACTGAAATAAAATGGCAATGCTAAAGTGGGGAGCAAAACGAAACGTGAGTACAGGAAGAGATTAGAGAAGACAAAGTGGAAGTGCTTGATTTATATGAATGCGAGACAAGGATCTGAGACGATCGACAAAGCGGATTGTTGTCGCCTCTGAGGAGGGCTTGGGGTTCGGCTTTCTCAGGGCTTGGTGGGCAGGACGAGGGTCATTTACTAAGAAATATCCTTCGACCTCCTCTGCAAGAGTCCTAATAAGCATAATGGCGGTGGGAAAGTTTGACTTACGTTTTCAGTCGGGCAGAACTCCGCGCCAGAAACGAGGCGGTCGAGGAGGTCAGGACGAGTGTCGTTAAGGGCGGGAGTCAGCCTGTCCAGGAAGGGCTGAGGGTCGACTGTTCCGTCAGGCCTGAACTGTGGAGCGAAGGAGGGGGGGTGATAATGATCATGGGAGTATGAGAAAACAGGTCATGTGATAGTAGTCATCTACTTACACGGAACAGTAAATATATCAGGTACAGGAACAACATATCTAAAGCTCGGAGCATCTTCAAATAATTTGCAGGCTTCTCGACTTATCAAGTAACGCTCCGATTTATGCTGTACATTTCCTACTCAGCTAGCAAGCATCAATATTTAGTGCCTTACCTCTCCATGCTCCTGCAGGACGCACTGCTTCACTGCCAGGTGGTTCTCCTCGGAACCAAAGAGCGCCAGAGCCTGTGCGTCTGTGGGGCTGAAGAGGACCTCAGGGTCCACTGGAGAGCCGGGAAAAAAACATTAATTTGCAATTTCTCTTGTTTTCAGGTTCATGGTTTGTATAAAAGGTGTGATGTTTTCCCACATTGTCACTAGTAATGTTATTATCAACACTGTAGTTATTGACACCAATCTTTATGAATATTTTTGTGGTTATCTTTATGATGATCAGTCAGATCTTGACTTATTTCAGTAAAATGTCACTGATCCTATTGAAGTCATCTTGATACATCAGCTTCAGTGCGCCTTAAAGGAATAACAAAATGAATGTTTTGTAAACTCACCGTCATCCAGATGGCTGAAGCCGTTTTCGTCGAGGCATTTCTTGTATGTTTGTCTCCTAGTTTGTTCATCTTGTTCAATTGCGAAAAGGTTCTTGCAGACTTGCAGCTGTAAGAAGACAATAAGAATACTTAGGAATGAAGTTGCTGCTGAATAAGACATAGTCTCTCAAAGTGTTTCATGATAGTGAATTAAAGAATAGTTCCTGTTGCGTAGGAGCCACTGAATTATTAAGAGAGAAACTAGCAGAGAAAGTGAAATAAAACAGTACTCACATCGGCCTCACACGAAGTCACATTATCAGCTCCCTCACATGATACATCTGAAGGAAAGATACTGTTAGATACGGAATGAACAGTGCTTGTATATAGTGTCAATGCGCAGTCTTTCAATTACCTTTGCTTTCATGTAAAAAATAGTATTGTTTGCAATGCAATATTAAAGGTCTTTTCTCACTCTGTCGCTCTCTTTCATTCTTCCATTCACTTTTGTTATTAGAGAAAATAACAGGCTATTTACATTTTAAAAACTCATGAGGAGAGGCAGAAACTGCGGCCACTGCAGCCAAGAAGATCAAGGCTTTGATCATTTTCTGGAATATAGACAATACATATGTGTTAATCTGATCATTTTGTGCTGAAAAAAAATACACCCAGTATTTGTATCTTAATCTGACAAACAATTTTGAAAGTCATCATATCTATAGACACATGGCAAACCTTTACATGTCATGTCGAAGAGATAAGATAGTAAGAGCTTCCATATACTAAAAGCTCTTGTAGTACATACCGCTATGGTGTCCAGAAG